CCTGCGAGCCGGGGGGATTTGTTTTTCAGGCCTGGCTTCTGCTTTGTTTATTTTCCCGGTTTCATTTAAGGTCGGTTTCAAAAGCTGCCCCTGATTTGTACCATTTACAATAAATGGAGAATTAGGTTGAGCGCATCCCTGCGTCCATGGAGGGTGGAGGGTGCGTGCAAACGGGGGACATTGAGGATGAACCTCTTTTTCCCTGGTTAACACATGCTACCTGCTGCACCTAATCTGCTACTCATTCACGATTCCCAGCCATTTTCATGCAAGCAGTTTCAAAGATCAACTACCTCAGGAAGAACAAGCTCTCATTTCCCAGGGATGCTTAAACGATCAGAAAGATTTTACACCGCTTCCTCTCTGAAATATCAGCAGATTTTATCTTTCTTTTCCACTCACGGAGTGCCCACTTAGTTCATCAGTCACATAAATCCTTCACATACAATCCTCAGTGCAGAATTTAAGAACAAATTAGATCGTTGGTTTGCAACCAACAAATCTGGATCTGCAATGACTGACAGAATGCTCTTAATGCGTTTGCAGAAGCAAAATAAGCAAAGCAAATCTATTGTCAATGGGCTTAAATTCACTGCTCCAGATCCACATATCCATTAGAAAATATTTATCATACACAAATCTTCAAGGTTGCACACAACCGAGTAAAAGGCTCTTCTTCAGGGGCAGACAGATCTCAGAAGAGAGCGACTGATTTTCCCAGCCTACCATTGCTTTCATTTAGGCACTTTCATTCTGACCGCATGCATTTCAAGGGACAAACGGAGCATATGTCTGGCCAGCAGTGGATTTCCATTTAGCAGGGGCTGTAGCCTCAGAAACATTTTAAGCTTCCATGAATTAGCTTCACCACGAAGATAAATTTTTTTTTTCTCTGCTGCCCTTTTTCACTCCTATGCTAACCCCCTCCATGGGCCAGCACAAGAGAACTGAGCTGAATACAGCACTGAGCTGAGTTTAAAACGTACCTGGCAAAAATATGTAAGCAAATGCACAGGTATAGACCAGTGAGCTTTAAACCCAAGTAGGTTTCCCGATCCTTGTTCACGATAGCCAAATGGGGCTAAACATTGGAGGTATTTAAAAGACGGGTAGACAAGGTGCTTAGGGACATGGTTTCGTGGTGCGATGGCAGGGTTAGGTTAACAGTTGGACTTGATGATCTTAAAGGTCTTTTCCAACCTGAACGATTCTATGATTCTAAACCCTTGTGTCAGCATTTAGCAACCCCAGCACATCAACTCCTTGTCTTGGTTCCTGTGCTGTCTGGACTAACTCTCTGATTTCAACAGGCTTCCTAATTTGTGCTGGGAGACCAGAACCCTTTTGGCTGGGAGGGCATGTGGGTTGAGGTTGCCATTCGCTCATGGCTTGGCTGGAGATTTCCTTGGGTTTAGCGGCTGTGTACAGAGACACCAGTGCAACCATAGCACTAGCGCTATCATGGTCATTTTTGCTGGAGGATAGTAGGATTTAGCTTTCTCTCATTGTTTTTTTTAGTTGGAAATAAATACAAGACTGACTGTGTCTTTGTGTAGCTATTTGCACACTATTTCTAAATGTGTGTGAGCATGTATCACAACCAGTATATCCACAAATGTGCACAGAAGTATAGGGATGCATAGCTGTGTGCCACCATACACTCAGCCTAT